TGACACCAGTGAGTGAGTGGTGGCACTGGGCAAGTAGGGACAGTATACGTTGCGAGCCTGACACACAGACGCTTGCAGACAACTAACTGCTATTCAATCTATAACAGTGAAAAAAGTTTTGGGTTTTTAAATGCACGCTATTGTGACACCAGTGAGCAGTGGCACTAAGTACAGTGTATCCACTGTGAGCCCGACACACCCGCTTGAGACAACCAACTGCTATTCAATCTATAACAGTGAAAAACATTTTTTGGTTTTTAAATGCACGCTATTGTGACACCAGTGAGTGAGTGGTGGCACTGGGCACAGTATCCACTGTGAGCCCGACACACCCGCTTTGAGACAACTAACTGCTATTCAATCTATAACAGTGAAAAAAGTTTTTTGTTTTTAAATGCAAGCTATTGTGACACCAGATAAGAGTGGCACCGTGAACTGGCAGAGTACACACTGTAGGGCTGACACACCCGCTTTGAGACAACTAACTGCTATTCAATCTATAACAGCGAAAAAAGTTTTTAGTTTTTAAATGCAAGCTATTGTGACACTCAGTGAGTGAGTGGTGGCACTGGGGCACAGTATCCACTGTGAGCCTGACACACCCGCTTTGAGACAACTAACTGCTATTCAATCTATAAGAGTGAAAAAAGTTTTTTGGTTTTTAAATGCACGCTATTGTGACACCAGATAAGAGTGGCACTGTGAACTGGCAGAGTACACGCTGTAGGGCTGACACAACCGCTTTGAGACAACTAACTGCTATTCAGTCTATAACAGTGAAAAACTTTTTTTTGTTTTTAAATGCAAGCTATTGTGACACCAGTGAGTGAGTGGTGGCACTGGGCACAGTATCCACTGTGAGCCTGACACACCCGCTTTGAGACAACTAACTGCTATTCAATCTATAACAGTGAAAAAAGTTTTTTGTTTTTTAAATGCAAGCTATTGTGACACCAGTGAGTGAGTGGTGGCACTGGGCACAGTATCCACTGTGAGCCTGATACACCCGCTTTGAGACAACTAACTGCTATTCAATCTATAACAGTGAAAAAAAGTTTTTTGGTTTTTAAATGCACGCTATTGTGACACCAGATATGAGCGGTACGGTGAAATGGCAGAGTACACGCTGTAGGGCTGACACACCCGGTTTGAGACAACTAACTGCTATTCAATATATAACAGTGAAAAAAAGTTTTTTGGTTTTTAAATGCACGCTATTGTGACACCAGATAAGAGTGGCACTGTGAACTGACAGAGTACACGCTGTAGGGCTGACACACCCGCTTTGAGACAACTAACTGCTATTCAATCTATAACAGTGAAAAAAGTTTTTTGTTTTTAAATGCAAGCTATTGTGACACCAGTGAGTGAGTGGTGGCACTGGGCACAGTATACACTGTGAGCCTGACACAGAAGCTGGCAGACAACTAACTGCAATTACATTACACAGAAAAAAAAAAAAAGCAGACTGATGTTCTAGGCCTAAAAAGGGCTTTTTGGGGTGCTGTTCTTACAGCAGAGATCAGATGAGGCCTTCAGGACTGTAGTGGACACTGTATACCCTAACCTAGCTATGCATTTCCCTATCTAATCAACAGCAGCTACACTTTCCCTCCTCTCACTAGGCATGCAGCTTGAGAATGAATGTAAAATGGATGCTGTCCAGTAGGTTGGAGGGTCTGCTAGGGAGGGTGTGCTGCTAATCAGCTGGAATGTGTCTGCTGACTGTGAGGTACAGGGTCAAAGTTTACTCAATGATGACGAATAGGGGGCGGATCGAACCGCGCATATGTTCGCCCGCCGTGGCGAACGCAAACATGCTATGTTCGCCAGGAACTATTCGCCAGCGAACCTTTCGGTGCATCACTACAGACCACCCTGTCCCTGGATTATGAAAACTTTTTCTCCATTCCACTGTTTGTTCGATATATTGCATTCCCTTTCAATTTTATTATGAATCCATTCGAATACCGAATAAACCACCCATATGCGGAGTGTGCGACTTGTCAACCTCCATCACCTCTGTCAACACCTCATTAACATTTACAAGTGCAACATTCTAAACGGTCGGCTGGGTGGTCGCCGTTTGTGTGTGCGAACACATGGCAACGGCCATCTTTGAGCAGCGAACACAGGGAGAAGTGTTTAGTCATTGAGTGCGTGGAACTAAATTCGGACACTCGCCCTCTCGAACACCGCTGAACTTCTACCTTCCATCTGCATTTGGTTATATGCATATGAACAGAACACCGTTCGGTAGGAGCCTACTCCCAAACAAGGGACACATAACAAGCATACGAACAAGCATGCAAACTGGTCTCTATGTTCGGTATTTTGTGTGATTTCATACCCCCGAAAGAGACCAACTGCTCATCCAATTTCATGGAACTATTCTGGGCAGGACCCCCGTGTGCGGTCGGTCAGAACTTTACCCAGGTGGCGTTTCGGCTGCGTATCCAGAAAGCCTGGATCTGAGCGCCCAACATATCCAAAAAGCGCTCATATCCAGGCTATCCAGGGATAGAGGACTTGAGGGGTTACCCGATGTCTGAGGTATAATAATTGTACATGTTCTGTACCTGAGAGATAATTTATTTAAGATGTTTTTTTTTCAAGCAGTTCAGAGAAAGCCATGGGGGGATTCCCCTGCAATGTCACTTTGGAAACCCCTTGCATGGGGAGTTGCATATTAACCAGTTCATCCCCAACATAGAGCCTCGTCTTATGTGTGTGGGAGAAAGCTATACCTGCTATAACACTACTTTGCCTGCTTTTGGATTATCGCTATTGTGAACACTGATTGGGATTACTATAGCATCACTCACACAGTAGGGGGAAACCCCTCTTCCTCTTGGGGTGTCTGCCACACTAGTGGCCGGGTACAGTGAAAGCCATGTATCATGTAAGCAATGGGAGTGCAGTAGAGTTGTTAATTTTGCACCTATAGGTAGAGATTGGGGGTGAGAGCCAGTTTTACCAGATCTGTCGAGGTCAGAATCTAACACACAATTAAAGTCACCACAAACCAGTGTCTGGCCCTTCTTTATTTTGTCTAGTTTATTCAAAGCTTTCCTAATAGAGTCGTATTGGTTGGCCACAGTTATCAGGATATCATTGAGCGTTCCCATCAGGCCGAGAAGTCTGCCGTCAACACTTTTATATTCTTTCTTACAACTAGGTCCAGTCCGAGTGGAAAAGGATACTCCACACTCCTCTAGTCTTATTGGGCACTAACGCATGGAAAGCCTGGGGGTACCTGAGTGAGGAGAACTTTGAGGGGTTAACTACCGAGCAGTGGGTCCTGAATACACGCAATTGAGGCATGTGACCTACGTAATTGTTGAAAGGCAAGTCTGCATTTTGTGTGGTGTTAAGTCTTTGGGCGTTTAGGGATAGTACATTAAAGTGTTGTGAGAGAGTCCTCCGGGCATCCAAACGCTTCCCGACTCTCTCCATGCGCCATAAGTTAGGGGTAGACCCCCTACGGCCCCCTGTGCGACCACAGCATGGAACAGAGAGCATCTCATATACAACATGGAAGCAGAGTTAGAAAAGCAAACACAAGTATATACATAGTAAAAAGCATAAGAGAATCATGAGTAGGCTGTCCCTCGTGTGAGTACCCTCCAATATGTCGAAGGGACTCATTGACGGTAACCGTCTAATGAGGGGGGGAGATTAACGGGCCCAAAGGTGCCCTGTGCTGTTTTAGCAGTAAATGGTCTCGTGTTGAGGAGACATGCAGGGGGAACGGGGTTTCTTTCTTTTCTATCAATCATAGCAAGGGGAGGTGTGGCTAGGGCTGCATAAACAGAAACAAAGTGATTTAACTCCTAAATGACAGTGAATTGAGCAGTGAAATTGCAGGGGAATGATCTATACACTAAAACTGCTTTACTTAGCTAAAGTAATTTAGGGGACTATAGTGTTCCTTTAATGAGTTCTATCTACACTGGTGTGGGAATTCTATGGGAGCATATTTTGCACCCTTATATGCAAACCATTTTATGGATTGGTGGAAGTTGTCCTCATAGGCAGGCGCACGGGGTGTGCCGGGTGTGCCTGGGCACACCCTAATCCCCGCGGCACTCCTATGAATTGAGACCGTCATGGGGATATCAGGATCTCCCCTGTCGGCTCATGCAGGGCCTGCGCTATCCGAGCGCCGGCTCTGCTCTAAGCCTCCATGGGCCGGTGGGGAGATCAAAGATCTACCTCACTGGCCCACAGCACCATGGAGGGTGGCAGGAGAGGACCTGGGGAGCTCTAGCCAGCAGCTCCGCCGGGTTCCTCTCGTAAGATCTGAGCGTTGCCACGCTCAGATCTCACGAGAGTGAACTCTAGCTCCGCAGGCTAGAGTCACTCTCCACTGGACCACCAGGGATGGCAGCAGCAACAAAGATCCCCCCTCCCTACATAAGGTAAGAAGGGAGGGGGGTATTAAGTAATATGCCCCCACCTCCACCCCCACAATCACTCAAACATACAGCACACACACACATATAGCACCCTCACACCCTCACAGCACCCACACACACACAGCACCTATACACATACAGCACCCACATACAGCACCCTCACACACACAGCCCCCCACACACACACACAGCACCCTCACACACACACAGCACACTAACACCACCCTCGCAAACACACACACAGCACCCTTTCAAATACACAGCAACCTCACACACAGCACATTAACAGCACCCTCACAAGGACACACATACACACACAGCACACCCACACACAAACAGCACCCTCACAAACAGCACACTAACAGCACCCTCATAAACACACGACACCCACAAACAGCACCCTCACACACACAGCACACTAACAGGACCCTAACAAACACCCTCACACACACACAGCACACTTACAGCACCCTCACAAACACGCACATTACCAGCACCCTCACACACATCACACTAACAGCACCCTCACACACAGCACCCTTACACACACACACAGCACCCTTACACACA